TTTTTAATATGTGTGTTTGTTTTGCTCTGTTAGAATTATAATACAATGGTACGGTTGCTGATGACACGATAAATAAAATAAATCTCAAGACTGGACTACTGTAACGCCCTCTACATTGGCCTTCCTCTGTCGGTGATCCGGAAGCTCAAGTTGGTACAAAATGCAGCTGCTCGGCTTCTTGCGGGAATTCTGAGATGCCACATAACCCCAATCTTACGGCAGCTGCATTGGTTACCAATTGAGCACCGGATCACTTTCAAAGTGATGGTCCTCACCTTTAAGGCCTTGCATGGTCTGGGGCCGATGTACCTGAGGGACCGCCTCACCCCCTACCAACCCCAGAGATCCCCCAACCTGAAATGAAATCCTGCAACTCGTATGAAATTTAAAGTGACTCCATCTTTATTGGAACGCCCCGTGTGCGTTAAAACAATGTTATAACATTACAGATAGCATTACATATTGGTTAGGTTAGCATTACAGCGTTATGCAGTTGTACACAGTCCGAGTTAATTTTTTTTTCTGACTTTTTAAGCTTTTGTTTTGACACCAAGTTGTATAACTTTTGTCCAAGGTTTAGGTATTTTTTATGTATTTAATTTTTTTTTTTTACATTAGAACATCAGGTGAAAAAGAAAAGAGGGAGGGAAAAAAAGAAAGAAAGAAACCAATACAAACCAAAAGAAAATGATCCACATCTGGTAGAATTCACTGTGAGGCAGCTATCATGAATGATCATTTCACACACACGCTATCTATGTAAAAAAAGGTTACCTGGCCCTCTTTGTTTACCCATTATTCCGAACGAACCTTTTTGAGATAGGTCAAGGCGATGAATTTGTGGTTCTCGAGGCGTTGCTTCACTACAGTTCCCATCAGCCTTGGGCATAGCTTGCCAAGGCTGATGGGAAGTGGAGTCGAACAAAAACCACGGCTCCTGACCCCCAGCAAAAAGTCTATTTTTACCCTGAGCACATTTCCTTGACAACTTCCTATATATTTATTTTTCTTTTAGGACTTGGGAGAAAGAGAGGCATTAATTTGAGATTGTAAAAGTGTGTGCGCGAGTTTTAATTCAAAGTGAATAATTGAGGAACCCTTCGATGCCTAAAGTAAAGGTAAAGGTTTCCCCGTGACATTAAATCTAGTCGTGTCAGAGTTCTGAAATTTTCACCACCAGAAGACAAAGAGCGGTGTTGTCTGTAGACACTAGGCATGTGCAATCCATCCTTCTAAATGGTTCTACAGCACTTACAAAACTAAAACTCTGGTGGTGAAAACTAAGAGGCGCTAGTGCTTTGCTTCTACAGTGTTGCTAAAGTTCTGGTGGTGAAAATTTAAGAACAAAACTTTCAAAATTTCATTATTTCATGATTGGTGATTTTTATGACAGAACCAATTAGTAACTGCCATGTATAATGAAATTTTGTTAGAGTTCTTAAATTTTCACCACCCGAAGACAAAGAGCGGTGTTGTCTGTAGACACGAGGCATGTGCAATCCATGCTTCTAAATGGTTCTAAAGCACGTACAAAACTAAAACTCTGGTGGTGAAAACTAGGGGGTGCTGGTGCTTTGGCATAAATACCTGATTCATCCCAATTTGAATACCGGTGGGGCTGGGGGGGGGGGGGCAGATTGATTTTGTCATTTTGGATTTGTAGTTGCTGGGATTTATAGTTCAACTACAATCAAAGAGCATTCTGAACTCTACTAGCAACAGAATTGAACCAAACTTAGCACACAGAACTCCCATGACCAACAGAAAATACTGGAAGGGTTGACCTTGAGCTTGGGAGTTGTAGTTCACCTATATCTAGAGAGCACTGTAGACTCAAACAATGGTGGATCTGGACCAAACTTGGCATGGATATTCAATATGCTCAAATGTGACCAGAGGTGGAATTTTTTTTTGGGGGGGGGGGGAAACAGACCTTGAGATTTGAGTAATTGCTGGGATTTATAGTTCACCTACACTTAAAGAGCACTCTGAACCCCATCAATGATAGAATTGGGCCAAACTTCCCACACAGAACCCCCATGACCAACAGAATACTGTGGGTTGTTGTAGGTTTTTCCAGGCTATATGACCATGTTCTAGAGGCATTTTCTCCTGACGTTTCACCTGCATCTATGGCAAGCATCCTCAGAGGTAGTGAGGTCTGTTGGAAGTAGGAAAATGGGTTTATATATCTGTGGAATGAAGTACTGTGTTTTGTGATGGTCTTTGGTGACCCCTCTGACACCTCCTCACAACCCTTACAGGGGTCGCGACCCCCAGGTTGAGAAACACTGCTGTAGAAGCAAAGCACCAGCGCTTCCTAGTTTTCACCACCAGAACGTTTAGTTTTGTAAGTACTTTAGAACCATGGATTGCACATGCCTTGTAGACACCTCCAAGGTCATGTGGTTGCATGGAGTGCCGTTACCTTCTCGCAGAAGCAGTACCTATTGATCTACTCACATTTGCATGTTTTCAAACTACAGAAGCTGGGTTTTTTCGGGCTATATGGCCATGTTCTAGAGGCATTTCTCCTGACGTTTCGCCTGCATCTATGGCAAGCATCCTCAGAGGTGAGGTCTGCTGGAACTGGGAAAAAAGGGGTGGAAAAAAAGGGGGGGAAGGGGTACTGTGTTTTCTGATGGTCTTTGGTGACCCCTCTGACACCTCCTCACGACCCCCCCAGGGGTCACGATCCCCAGGTTGAGAAACACTGCTGTAGAAGCAAAGCACCAGCGCTTCCTAGTTTTCACCACCAGAACGTTTAGTTTTGTAAGTACTTTAGAACCATGGATTGCACATGCCTTGTAGACACCTCCAAGGTCATGTGGTTGCATGGAGTGCCGTTACCTTCCCGCAGAAGCAGTACCTATTGATCTACTCACATTTGCATGTTTTCAAACTACAGAAGCTGGAGCTAACAGCGGGAGCTCACCCCACTCTCCGGATTCAAACCGGCAACCATTCGGTCAACAAATTCAACAGCTCAGCAGTTTAACCAGAGGCTCATAAAGAGTCTGACTGATTCAGACGGGGATGGGATCCCCTCTCACCTTCCACCACAATAACTATTCGGAAATTATCTACTTGGGACCAGAGGCTAGTTTAGGAGGAAGAGAGCAGGCCACACAGCTGACTAATGCCCTTGCTTCCCAATGTCCTGCCTTCCCTCAATGCCAGAGGAAGCCCTTCCACCATGGAAATCCTTCCCTCTACTACTTCCTTCAGTATTATAATACAGTATTTACATTATACAGAGCATGGAGGAGGGCCATTACGTAGTGGAGGCTAAAAAACCCGCAAGAGATGCCAGAAGTTCTGTCAAATGTCTGGTTCTCCAATAGACAGTTCTGTCTTTCAGAGCAATGTTTACTTGTAGGCCTCCCGACCATACAGAGGTCTTCATCAGACCCGCTTCTGTATCAACGTGAAGCTTTCAGGGTCTGGGTTGATGTGAGTTCTCCGGACTGTATGGTCATGTTCCAGAAGCATTCTCTCCTGACGTTTCACACCATCTGTAAGGTTTTGAGGATGCCTGCCGTAGATGTGGGTGAAACGTCAGGAGGGAATGCTTCTAGAACATGGCCATACAGCCCAGAAAACCCACCGCAAACCCATGAAAGCCTTCAACGACTGTCGCAGTCTGTTAGCAGTTAAAGTTACTCTAGCGTCAATGATTCCCAAACTCTAGTTCTCGGGATGCTTTGTTCGTCAACTCCCAGAAGCCTCTGCTGCCTAGGCCAGTGATTGGGGATGCTGGGATCTGGCATCCAAAGCATCTAGAAGAGCAGAGTTTGGGAAACACCGTGCAAACTGGGGACTTAGATTTCCAGTGGAAATTTGTGTGTATAGTCTTAGTGGTTGTGATTTAAACAAGCTTGAATGGTCTCTGTCCCAAGGTCCATACAAAAAGGAAGAGAAAAAAAGGGAAGAAGCAGTAATAAATATCTCTAGTAGTGGGATCTCTTGGAAATTCTTCTATCTGCCGTCCCAGCAAGTCATACAATCCTAGAGTTGTGGAAGAGACCCCAAGGGCCATCCAGTCTGTCAGGCAGAAAGTCACTATCAAAACCCTCTGGACAGATGGCCACCCAGCCTCTGAATCACAGAATCCTAGAGTTGGCAGAGACCCCAATGGCCATCCAGTCTGTCAGGCAGGAAGTCACTATCAAAGCCCTCTGGAGAGATGGCCATCCATCCTCTGAATCACAGGATCCTAGAGTTGGAAGAGACCCCAAGGACCATCCAGTCCAACCCCCTTCTGTCAGGCAGGAAGCCACTATCAAAGCCCTCTGGACAGATGGCCATCCAGCCTCTGAATAACTGAATCCTAGAGTTGGAAGAGACTCCAAAGGCCATCCAGTTCAACCCCCTTCTGTCAGGCAGGAAGTCACTATCAAAGCCCTCTGGACAGATGGCCATCCAGCCTCTGAATCACAGAGAGCCCAAAGGCCATCCAGTCCATCCCCCTTTTGTCAGGCACCATCAAAGCCCTCTGGAGAGATGGCCATCCAGTCTCTGAATCACAGAATCCTAGAGTTGGAAGAGACCCCAAGGGCCATCCAGTCTGTCAGGCAAGAAGTCACTATCAAAGCCCTCTGGACAGATGGCCACCCAGCCTCTGAATCACAGAGACCCCAAGGGCCATCCAGTCCAACCCCCTTCTGTCAGGCACCATCAAAGCCCTCTAGACAGATGACCATCCAGCCTCTGAATCATAGCATCCTAGAGTTGGAAGAGGCCATTCTGTCCAACACTCTTCTTCGAGGTGTCTGTAAAATTGCGCATATGGGTTATCCGCGAATGAGCAGAGCAGTTCAGAACCTTCTCATTATCAAAGCATTCCCGACAGATGTCCATTCAGCTTCAAAACCTCATCCAATCCAGGTTTTGCAGCTGAGAAGTCATATAGACAGACTGGGGTATAACATACATTGTTATCTATCTATCATATTTCTCGGGAAACTTTGGGGAAGGGTTTAGCATCATTGCCTTGAACTACATGTACTTCTTGCAACCACAAATCCCAGGATTGCATAGGATGAAGCTTTAACAGCCCATCGGTATTGGGCTGCTTGAACTGTACAATGGGACTATATTTGCTCTTGGTTGCTGCAGCACCAATAAGGGGCATTTCAAAACGATTCGTCTCAGATCCTTATTTCCGGCCCATAAATCCCTTTTCTCGCCCTGTGTCCCTTCCCAAATATCTGCTTGCTCCAGGTGCATCAAAAACATTGCCAAGGAAATGCATTGACACTTAAGTCACAAAACTGGCAAGGAAGAGAGTGGGGAGGTTGAACAAGGAACCAGCGATCCAACCCCAGACTCGTCTTGTTTTGCATTTCGAAAGAAAAAGTGGGGGAAAAGTTGGAAGAGAAGCTGAAGAAGCCAGTTGTGGTGAATACCGACACAGACAGTTCAGCACAAAACACAACTTCCATCGTGACAAGAGAAAAATCGTATTCAGAACGGTACCTCGATATTGGTCAGTTAGACTACGTTTTTTTCTGCTTTTTAAAAAAAATTGTTTGTATTCAGCATGCAAATAGTGCAGTTACACTGTTTGGATAAAATACGTATTTTTGTGGTATTATTAAAATTAATGCTTTTTTTTTTCCTTGTATATTATTTTGTTTTGTTTTAGAACTTTATAGTGTTATGTGCCCTGCAAAAGTTAACGTCACTAGAGAAAACGGATTGGCGGCTTCTTACAGAAACTTTTTAACTCTATGACTAAAACCGAAGGGGGAGGAGGAGGAGGAAGGGGGGGGGGTCAAGAGTCTGTATGCCGAGGGGCCTCTCGGGCCCTCAGCTTACCCTGCTAATACTCGCTCAAGCTGTGCCACTTGGCGACCTGCTTCCGGGGACTCTCGCACACTTCTCGCCAGTGTTCTGCGCCGCCTGCTGTGACGCTGTGCGCCCCCAGGATCAGCCGCCCCACCACTTCATTCTTGGTGGTCCGGTCAAAGTCGATGACCAGGAACTCGATGCTGATGTCGGGGAGCAGCTCGGTGGGGATGTCGTAAATGAAGGACTCGTTGAAGACGGGGTTCAAAGTGCACTTCTTGACGTGAGTCTTCTTCTTCGCGATCCGCTTCCTGCCGTAGTAGACGTTCACCTTGACGTAGGGATCTGTGGAAGGAGGAGACAAAGGCAAGCCAATAATGCTGTCCTAGAGTAAGGCTGCTGCCAATAACCATAGAATCAAGGTTGGAAGGGACCCCAACGGGCATCCAGTCCAACACCAACCATTCTGCCATAAACTACGTTCAGCCTCGTAGTCTAAGATCTGCCGGGGAGGTCCTGCTCTCGGTCCCACCAGCTTCGCAAATGTGGCTGGTGGGGACGAGGGACAGGGCCTTCTCGGTGGTGACCCCTGTGGCAGCCATGATTTTAACAGGAGCGGAGCGCAGGGAGCATATAACCCCCCTGTTGCGCCAACTCCACTGGCTACCGATCTGCTACCGGGCTGAATTCAAAGTGCTGGCGTTGGCCTTTAAAGCCCTAAACGGTTCCGGCCCAAGCTACCTATCCGACCGCATCTCTGCCTATGAACCAACCAGGACTTTGAGATCTTCCGGGGAGACCCTGCTCTCGATCCCGCCTGCTTCTCAAGCTCGGCTGGCGGGGACGAGAGATAGGGCCTTCTCGGTGGTGGCTCCTCGGCTGTGGAACGCCCTTCCTACGGACATTAGACTAGCACCATCTCTAATGGTATTCCGCAAAAAGGTGAAGACCTGGATGTTTGTGCAGGCGTTTGAGTAATTTAGTGCAATCTGGTAATGGAACATAGGACTGGAACAATGGACGACGAACCTGGACTACGCTTGGATGATGAGAAGATTGGGTACGGTTGTTTTTTGTAATAATTGTGCATTGTAATTGCTTATTGGTAATTTATGGATAATGTGTTAAGTCAATTGTTATATGTATGGAACCACTGCTGTTTCTACTGTTTTTACTGTTTGTGAACCGCTGTGAGTCGCCTTCGGGCTTGAGATACAGCGGTATATAAGCAAAGTAAATAAATAAATAAATAAATATATACCGCTCCATCTCCCCAAGGGGACTCAGAGCAGTTCCCAAGTAATATCACAAAACATACAGAGTAAAAACAACATAACCATAAGATTAACAAACAAAATATAAACATAAAAATTGTCGCCATAGCACACATATATTAAAAGTAATCCTGCCTGTTCAAGGCAATTAAAAATGTAAAAGGCCGGGCCAAGATTTGTGCAAGCCCAAAAATTCTAAGGGTCCCGGGAATTGAGTGCAATGCTATGGCAGGCAACAATAATATTAGGTAGGGGTCTATTATTGCGGCATCAAATCGTTGCCATTGTTAGGCACTCTGAGTCCCCCTGCGGGGTAGAAATGCTATAAATAAATAAATATTATTTATTTATTTATTATTTTATATTCCGCCCTTCTCACCCCGAAGGGGACTCAGGGCGGAGCACAGCATATACACGGCAAACATTCAATGCTGGGACACAAATTCTCATACAATACATAAACATTAAAAAACATTTATCAAAATATTAAAATACACCATTTTAAACCGTCCTAGTCATCCATGTCAAATCTAATTGGCCTGGTCATCTTCCCTATTGCCGCTTTATTGCCCTGTCCTGAAAGCTTGGTCCCACAGCCAAGTTTTGACCATCCTTCTAAAGGACAGGAGAGAGGGGGCCGACCTGATCTCACCAGGAAGGGAGTTCCATAGCTGGGGAGCAATCACCGAGAAGGCCCTGTCTCTCGTCCCCACCGATTGCGCCTGTTGGAAGGTAGGGCCTCCCCGGAGGATCTTAATCTCCATGATGGTTCATAGGGGGAGATGCGTTCGGACAGGTAATTTGAGCCGGGGCCGTTTAGGGCTTTATAGGTCAAAGCCAGCACTTTGAATTGTGCCCGGTAGCAAACTGGCAGCCAGTGGAGCTGTGTGCTCCCTGTATGCCGCCCCAGTTATTAACCTGGCTGCCTCTCGTTTGACTATTTGAAGCTTCTGAGCAGTCTTCAAAGGCAACCCCACGTAGAGCACGTTGAAGTAGATCCCAACCCCCAGGTTGAGAAACCTAAGGGCAATCCAATCCAACTCTATCCCATCAATCATAGAGTTGCCTGAAGGATAACTAAGGGACGGAAACATTAAGGGGCATCCTATCCAACTCCATTCTGCCAGGCAGGAAAGTGTAATCAAAGCACTCCTGACAGGTGGCCATCTAGCCTCTGCTTCAGAACCTCCAGAAAAATAGACTCCATGGGACATGCCCGCCCCCCCGGCCCTCCCAGGAAGCATACGCCACTGTTGAACAGCTCTTACAGTCAGGAAGTTTTTCCCCTAATGTTTAGGTAGCTGCTCTTTCCCAGAACAGAAGAACGGCCTGCCTCAGGGGAGCGTGCTTGCTCCATCCATGTTCAACATGTACACAAATGACCAGCCACTCCCAGAAGGGACAGAGAGTGTCATATATACTAATGATCATGCCATCACCACTTAAGCAGGGAGCTTTGAGATGGTTGAACAGAAGCTCTCTGAAGCTCTAGGTGCTCTTACTGCTTATATTACAGGGAAAACCAGCTGATCCCTAATCCATCTAAAACACAGACATGTGCTTTTCACCTTAAGAACAGACAAGCATCCCGAGCTCTGAGGATGACCTGGGAAGGAATCCCACTGGAGCATTGCACGCACCCAAATATCTGGGAGTCACTCTGGACAGTGATCTGACCTACAAGAAGCACCACCTGAATATCAAACAAAAAGTGGGTGCTAGAAACAATATCATAAGAAAGCTGACTGGCACAACCTGGGGATCACAACCAGATACAGTGAAGACATCTGCCCTTGCGCTCTGCTACTCTGCTGTATGCATGCCTAGTGTGGAACACATCTCACCACGCTAAACAGTGGATGTGGATCAAAATGAGACATGCCGCATTATCACGGGGTGTCTGCGCCCTAAACCACTGGAGAAATTACACTGTTTAGCCGGTATTGCACCATCTGACATCCCCCGGGAAGTAGCAGCCAATAGTGAAAGGACCAAGGCAGTGACATCTCCAGCTCATCCCTTGTTTGGGTATCAGCCAGCACGTCAACGACTTAAATCAAGAAACAGTTTTCTAAGATCTACAGAGACACTCGCTGGAACACCTCAGCAAGCGAGAGTCCAAAAGTGGCAGGCTCAAACCCAGAACCTCAACCAATGGCTGATACCAAATGAGAGACTCCCCCCTGGGCACACAGAAAGCTGGGCGACCTGGAAGGCGCTGAACAGACTGCGCTCTGGCACCACGAGATGCAGAGCCAACCTTAAGAAATGGGGCTACAAAGTGGAATCCACGACATGCGAGTGTGGAGAAGAGCAAACCACTGACCACCTGCTGCAATGCAACCTGAGCCCTGCCACATGCACAATGGAGGACCTTCTTGCAGCAACACCAGAGGCACTCCAAGTGGCCAGCTACTGGTCAAAGGACATTTAATCAACTACCAAGCTTGCAAACTTTATGTTTTGTTTGTTTGTTAAAAAATGCAATACAACTGTTTGGTTTGCTCCTGACACGCTAAACTTGAGAACTTTGATTGGGTCCCCAATGAAAAAAGAAGGCCTGCCCTGTGAAAGAATGGTGATAAGTTGAAGTAAATAGCTTCTACCTGAGAGGCCAGTGATGTCCATTTTGGGCAGATGTCTCGCCTTCAGCACCACCACCGTCATCCTCTGGGCCACCGGCTGGTAGGACAAGGACACCTGCAGCTCCCCTCGGCTGATGCATTTCTGCAAAGGGAGGACAAGGCCAGGTTTCTTCAGAGCGGCAGCTACATCTTTAATCGTACCGTATTGTAGTGTTTCTCAACCTTCCCAATGCCTCAACCCCTTAATACAGTTCCTCATGCCGTGGGGACCCCCAATCATAAAATTATCATTTTGCTACTGTTATGAATTGTAATGTAAATATCTGATATGCAGGATGGATTTTCATTCACGGACCAAATTTGGCACAAATATCCAATACACCAAAATTTGAATACTGGTGGGGTTGAGGTGGGGGGATTGATTTTGTCATTTGGGAGTTGTAGTTGCTGGGATTTATAGTTCACCTCCAATCAAAGAGCATTCTGAACTCCACCAATGATGGAACTGAACCAAACTTGGCACACAGAACTCCCACGACCGACAGAAAATACGGAGAATACCTTGGATCTGGACCAAATTTAGCATGAATATTCAGTATGCCCAAATGTGAACACTGGTGCAGTTTGGAGAAAATAGACCTTGACATTTGGAAGTTTTAGTTGCTGGGATTTACAGGTCACTTACAATCAAAGAGTATTCTGAACCCCACCAATGATAGAATTGGGCCAAACTTCCCACACACAACCCCATGCCTTGAAAGGACTCTCTGGCGTGAGCCCTCCTTCAGCCTCGCATGCTCTCCCTCACCTGCACATGCGCACCAACAATGGAATTGAACCAAACTTGGCACACACAACTCCCATGACCAACAGAAAATACTGGAAACCATGAAAATGAGCAAAATTCTGGCCACCAGTATTAAAAACCTCTGAAATCAGGACAGTAAATAATGAGCAACACTCAAAAATCAGGGAAATTCCAGACAAGAATCAATCAGGGGCAGCTAACACCTCCCAACAAAGGTAGGAAGCAGCCAGGGGACTTACAAGTATATACAATTATGTATATACATAGTATATGCATACAATATATTATGTTATTAGGGTAGTACAATATCAGTATTAAATATTACTATATTGTACTATACCATTATACTGTAAT